TCCTGCAACTTTATTCCAGTTCTGTGCTCTCCCAGCAGTTTCCCATCTATTATTCTGTTCTTTGGATTTAGCTTTCTAGTTTCCAAAGCTCTGCTTGATGCAAACAGCCCTTGTCTGGGACAGCAGAACGTCGGGTCTCTGTATTTAGAGTTTGCTGAATGGTTTCCAGTTTTCAAAGCAGGCTTTGGAGTGGGTGTCCTAGAGGCACCATTTCAGAGAGGCTCTGTAGGAGCTCTGGAAATGAGTGCTCATCCAGTATCGGTATCTTCTGAAAAATAAGGGCTTTTGACATCTTTTCATGTTTCTTCCTGTAAAAACCTGTTCACCACTGTTTTTACTGAGTCTCAAAAGGGGTGTTTTTCAAGTTGTAGTTCCACAAGAGAAAGCGGCTCCTGAAAACGCTGGGGGGAAAAATATGATACACATTTCCATATGTAAAAGTCAGGGAAAAGAAGACATAAATATGACCTTTAAATGATTCACTGATTTTTATTTGCTTGTAAATGAAAACTGTTCTGATAACCCTGCACAAGATTGTCACTGGAACTTCTTTCTGTGACTTGGTCATTCTGCCCTAAAAGCTGGTGCTCTCAAAACCGTATGTTTTTCCCCTTCTTTGTAGCTGGCCAGAGACCCATAAGACTTGCCAAACACTGGGATTAAACTGTCCTGTAAGACATTAAACATAATTTTATATACACTTATAAAATAAAATTTGAATTGTTTGAATGTTATCAGCTGGTTAAAAATATTTATCTTGATAAAAGCTCTGAATTGGGGCTAAGAAGGTGGGCAGAGGAAACTGTCATTCTATGGGTTCATTTTGCGTGGGCTATTTAAACAGAAGAGTAGTAGTTTCAAAATACTTAGGGGATACTTCTAGACCGAAATATTGGGCAAGCAGAGTTTGAAGTAATGTGTTTCTGTGCCTTCTTGCCCTTTTAATTTTAACAGTAAGGTGTATTTTCTTCTCTGCAACTGATTATTCTGAACAGTGGTTAAATGATCTTTGAAATGAACATGAAACTGTCCAGCACTGGGAATCACGGAATACAGTATACAAGGTTATAATCAATATCGTCAGTTTGCAAAAAGTTCGGGTCTGACACTCAGTAAGGCTGTAACGCTTGCCTCGTAATCACTGATAAATTGTGGTCTTTGGCATACTAATACCCTATAGCTGATGCTTTCTTTTGTTGGTTTACAGGGTATTCAAGGACTGTATCGGGGTTATAAAAGCACAGTATTAAGAGAGGTAAAACACTTGTCCTTTTCTTTTTTTTTGATTGATTCCTTTGCTTCACTTTGTTTTCTAACAAGAGATAATAGTACAATTGAGATCAATTGCTCTAACGATAAGCTCTAAATCCCAGCGTATTTCATTCTAGGTAAGTAACTCGTCTGTAATTTAAATAGCATGTTGGTAACGTGCAGTAAGAAAACCTGTGATACATGCAAGAAGTCATCTACCACCCCGTGTCTCAGTTCTGTTGCTGCTAAGTCATAAAAGGATGGAAATGGATATGTTAACATGATGAAAACCATAAAACAAAGTACTGGAAACTTCCTCAAGCCCTGTGATTGCATCATGCAAAGTATGTATGCCAGTAATGGCGAACGGGTGGCATTAAGCCAAGTTTGGCACACAGATGCAGGCTTTCTTTAAATATATTCGTCAGCAGATGCCAAGAGATTGTCTGTCATCTGTATATAGGAAGGATTGTGTGCACTCTCTCTCTTTCTTGCTTGCTTGCTTGCTTGCTTTCTTGCTTGCTTTCTTGTGAAAGGACTGCATTTAGTCATCCAGTCTATAGATGTGAGATGGCATTACTTAGCTCTAAATCAGAAGTACTTCACTGTTGGAAAAAAAAAGGAGGTAAAAAATATTTTGGCCTGCGTGGCAGAAAATATTTCCTAAACTAAAATCTTTTCATAAACGTCCTGTGAATTACAGGATTAGTGTCATGGAAGTATTTGATATGCTATGCAAACCGAAGGCAGATTATAAAAGAAGTAGAAACATACTGATGAACTCCCAGTCTAAAACTGTTTAGAATCAGATCCCAGGAGGTCATCTTTTGACGAAGCAGAAGTTGCCCTGAGTACCTCAAATAAAGAGACGAGGCTCAATTCCTGTGAAAACATAACAGCTGTTGTCCAGGAAAGGTTCTTTACTGACTGTGTTCAATGTGGTATGTGTGGGTTTGTCCTCTCCTGATGGAACTCAACGGAGTAAACTAGGTTTGGATCTTCGCTGCTTTTGTTTTTTAAACGCAGGATCAGATCTGCTGGCTGTGTTGCCGTTGATAATAAAGCCAGTTGCAGAGGCTTTTTAAGCCTTCTTTCAATAGCTCTGCTTTTAAAAGCCTTTCCTCATGCTGAAAACTCTTTTTTTAGGACAGTTATGTTAGGCAGCTCTTGCTACGGTTACAGAATAAAGATGGATATTACCTAAAATAAGAAATACCAAATTTAGTGTTCCTTAAAGTGCTGACAAATGATAATGCACAGCGGTCTATTTTAGCAGTTAAGAGTGTTTAAAAAATTAGTTATTTGTGCAGAGACGACACCTGCTTTTCTGAAATGTAACCCCCACCATAGCTTCATCCTGTACTTATTTTCTGGCTCACTAAACAAATGTTATTCACTTGGATTTTGTTTGGAGACAGGCAAAAAAAAGGCCAACGAATCATATTGATTTCTCTGAGGGGTTCTGAATAAATGAATAAATTTAGATCCCATTGAATACAGATTTTGCATACTAACAGGTAGATAAAGCACATGGTTACTACTGAGTGCTGTTCTCCTTAAAATTTGTTTTGACATATGTCAGGGTGGTAATTAATTTGCAGACCATATTCATGGCATGGTGTGTGTGACCCTGCTGAGATAACTTTGTTTACTCAAAATGGCAGCGCTGTGTTGGAAATATAACGGGGGTCCTCTCCGTTATGTATATTCATAAAAGATCCTTCAGAACTGATTTGAGTTGAAGTATTGCTTTTTGGGAGAATCTGTCCAATAGAATGAGAAATAAATGATTACCAAATGAAATGTGCTTTCTCTTCATAATGAAACAAATCATAGATGATGTTGGGGGAAAAAAAAAAAAATCTTTGAATTTAACACTGTTAAGATCGTTGCATCTTTCTGACACTAAATATTATAAAGCAATGTCCACTGAAGTAAGAACAGCATATTGAGCCTTCAGCTGGAACTGTTGTAAGCCTGACATTTAATCTTGGTATTTTCCTTTCTCTTTAAGCACACTTCTTCCTTTAGGGAAAGTCTTTATTTTCAGGTAAAAACCTATATGAATTCATTGTTTGACACATCCAGGTAACTGCATAGCATGTATCGACTGATACTTAATTCTGGCTGACTTTTTATACTTACAGAGTTTGTTTACATGCTTTGGTTCTTTAGTTACACAAACCCCTCTGTTTAGTTACAGCAGAGTGAGATTTTTGGATGGGGGGCTTCAATGCGTGATTTTTAATTAAAAAAATAAATTAAATTGGAAGAGGCCGGGAATATTGAAGCTTTTCAGATGATGATATTCTTGCACTGGCAAAATTATTGAGCCAGAATTTAAAAAAGGTTAATTTTAGTTGTTGCATCAGGATAAGATTTTGCATATTACATGAAGCGTATTTCAGTGCCTGGGCAGAGATCTGCTTGCCAATTGCTTGGACTTCAGTGAAAATGAGCCTGACTGTTTATAAAGGGACTGCAATGTTGAAACCTTGTCTTTTTACTATAGCATAGTAGATCTTTTCAAGACAGCCTGACTCTGCTGCGTGTAATTTGGATTAGCTGCTGTGCTGCTTCTGTTCTGGTGCAAGGTAGCTGTTTCATCCTTCACTTTTGATTTTTCACTCTTTCACTTATCCCCTTTATCTTCTCATCAGAATACTTTCTGTACAGATGAATATTAGAAGAGAAAGAAGATGGCTAAATATGCAGTGCTTTTGGAAAGAACTTGTTTGAGTGAACCTCAATACTTGGAAGTTTTGGCTGTGACTCTTTCACCCAACTCCTTTTTGGTGCCTCTTCTGTCACATCTCTGTTACATTTTGGTCTTTACATCTTCCTTTGATGTAGTTACACTGAACTAATCCTAAAATAGAAAGGGAAGTGAGGTACTGTGCCTTATTCTGTTGGCAGTAGTAGCCCAAAAAAGACATCCGCACTCCAAGGGGAAAGCTTTTGTGATAAAGCGCAAAGTGGGAGTATGGTTATTAGGTTGCTGAATGAGACTTTGAATAAATGGCAGGAATTGAAGGCTGTGAAACGATGCGGAATTCCCATGATGTCATTTCCAAAGCAAATCCAAGTGAGAATTGTCCTTTCCTATGGTTCTACTGTACTGGTGTTCATCAGTGTGGAAACTGGATCGTGCTACTAAGAACAGTCAATGAACAGGTAAATTTATTCATGTTTTCCGCAACAGAGACAAGTTCATTTGTAAAAATCTCCAGCCATCTTACAGCAAGGCAGGAGCAGACTATAAATCCACTGTAAATCCTCTAGAGTTTCTTAATGGGAACGTAGTTCTGCTGCTGAGATCTTATATAAGCAAATGGAGCCAGATTTTTAATTCCTGCATAATTCATTTTATTAACTATGACCAAGTAGAACATCTGTTAAAATTCCATAATGTTCAGTTCATGGGAAAAAGAGAGAAACCCCTGAATTCCCGTTGGAGCTTTTCCATTTCCATTAATGTTACAGGACTCTAGCAGATGTCTAAAAGGACGTTATTATGATTTAGAGGACAACACAAAAGAAAAGGAAGTGCCTTGTCCAGTTTCCCTGTGTACAATAGCTCGCTGTACAATGAATTACTTCACCCTCTGTGTGTCCATCTGCAGGTTGCAGCTTCGCACAAGCAGTGCCACAGTTAACTGTTGTGTCCCTTTTGTTGTGAGTTACCGTAGTTTGGAAGAACTGAGCGAGTCCTGAGTGGGTGTTCTGTGTGTTTTTAATCTAATTTGTCACTTTTAGAAGTATTGCAGATGGACTGGGCCCTAGCCCAGAAGTAGATTCAGAAGGAGCTAAAATTAATATTAAACTCTTCCTTAAAGGGAATGGAGGACGACTGGCTCTTTATAATTCACAGATGTCTTGAAAAGAGACTGAGAATCGCTTTCAAATGTCAGCCTTTGCTGTACAGGTTGTCCTGAGTAAGCTTGTCCTCTGTGTTGCCTCAGAGACTTTTCTGAGACATTTCAGGCTCTCTGCTCGTGGTGGCCTCAGTTCAGGTAGGAGTGGTAGTGATGCTTTACTTAATGATGTTTCGGAATTCACCTCAGAGCTCTGAATTTGAAAGAAAGCTACTGATAAGTCTGAACCCACTCCTGTACAGCATGCTATTGATCTTACTCAGTGAGATAGTCTAGTCATCACTTCTGGGAGTCCTGGTTTTTAAAGTTAGTGCAGTTGTGGGTTGGCTTGGGGGTTTGGTTTGGTTTCGTTTTTCCACTTCAACGTATGCAAGTCGGAGCCCTAATCCCAAGCTTCTGCCATCTTGGGAGTACTCCATGCTATAGTAATTTCGGGGAGGAGAAGGACAGCTAGTTCAAAGTATGCTGTTGCATTAATGAATGACAGCAGTGTGACAAACAGGTGACAAATTCAGGCTCTTCCCAATCTCAGAAAGCCAAGAAGTGTAATAATGTCTCCTGAGGAGGAGGTACTGTTTGTTGTACATATGCTGCAGAACTAGTGTCCTGTTATAATGTGTGTATCAGATGTGGAGGATACGAAGTGCAGCCTATGCAGACGAAGAAGGAGCTAGCAGCAAAAAGACTGACAAATTCCCCCCTTTCTCAAATGACTTACTACCTGGGAGAGGGAATCTAAAGCAACTAGCAGCAAAATGGGTCTTAAAGGCACACCTGCTGCATTTTCCAAAATCTATAGGGTGAGCGAACAAAGGATGCTGAGAAGGGTTTGTATAAAAATGTGAAACCCAGCTGAGATATGGTGACCCTGTTGACTGAGGGAGGGAGGGGATCTCCAAGGGCTGAGCTCGACAGGGAACAGTCTGCAAACAGGGAGCCTAGTTTGTTTATCCACTAGAGGTATTTTTGCATGCTTTTCTTTTGTTAGGACATCTTTATATAAATATCCTGTTCTTCTAGCTGTTAGGGGTTTTTTTTTTAAGTTTATCTCTGCTGTAGGACAGAAAGAATGTTATTAATACATTCTTTTACTTGCACAATTAAAACTTTGATCTTCTATCATTCTCTC